TGTGTATGGAGTCAGCCTCCACCACATCACTTCCTAATGCATTCCATTTACTAACTACTCTGACACTGAAAAAGTTCTTTCTAACGTCTCTGTGGCTCATTTGGGTACTCAGCTTCCACCTGTGTCCCCTTGTTCGCGTCCCACCAGTGTTGAATAGTTCATCCTTGTTTACCCGGTCGATTCCCCTGAGGATTTTGTAGGTTGTGATCATGTCCCCCCTTACTCTTCTGTCTTCCAGTGTCGTAAGGTGCATTTCCCGCAGCCTTTCCTCATAACACATGCCTCTTAGTTCTGGGACTAGTCTAGTAGTATACCTTTGGACTTTTTCCAGCTTCGTCTTGTGCTTGATAAGGTACGGGCTCCATGCTGGAGCTGCATACTCCAGGATTGGTCTTACATATGTGGTGTACAAGATTCTGAATGATTCCTTACACAGGTTCCTGAACGCCGTTCTGATGTTAGCCAGCCTCGCATATGCCGCAGACGTTATTCTCTTTATGTGGGCTTCAGGAGACAGGTTTGGTGTGATATCAACTCCTAGATCTTTCTCTCTGTCTGTTTCATTAAGTACTTCATCTCCTATTCTGTATCCTGTGCCTGGCCTCCTGTTTCCACTGCCTAGTTTCATTACTTTGCATTTACTCGGGTTGAACTTCAACAGCCATTTGTTGGACCATTCACTCAGTCTATCCAGGTCATCTTGTAGCCTCCTACTATCATCCTCTGTTTCAATCCTCCTCATAATTTTTGCATCGTCGGCAAACATTGAGAGGAACGAATCTATACCCTCTGGGAGATCATTTACATATACCAGAAACAGTATAGGTCCAAGGACTGACCCCTGCGGGACTCCACTTGTGACGTCTCGCCAATCTGAGACCTCACCCCTCACACAGACTCGTTGTCTCCTGTTGCTTAGGTACTCCTCTATCCACCGGAGTACCTTCCCTCTCACTCCAGCCTGCATCTCCAACTTTCGCACTAGCCTCTTGTGTGGCACTGTATCAAAGGCTTTCTGACAATCCAAAAATATGCAGTCTGCCCACCCTTCTCTTTCTTGCCTTATTTTTGTTGCCTGGTCGTATAATTCAAGTAACCCTGTGAGGCAGGACCTGCCATCCCTGAACCCATGTTGATGCTGTGTTACAAAGTTCCTTCGCTCCAGATGCTCCACTAGTTTTTTTCGCACAATCTTCTCCATCAGCTTGCATGGTATGCAGGTTAGGGACACTGGCCTGTAGTTCAGTGCCTCCTGTCTATCCCCTTTCTTGTATATCGTGTGTATATATTCTTGTATAATTGTGTGTGTGTGTGTGTGTGTGTGTGTGTGTGTGTGTGTGTGTGTGCGCGTGCGTGCGTGCGTGCGTGCGAGGGTGTTTTATGAACACATGCTCCGACTGGAAATGCTTTTACCGTCGTCCTCAGAATGAGTTCCAGGTGTTTTTACAGGTATGTGAAAGCCGGATATAATGTCAGAGATATATATCACAATAACATTAACTCCATCCGGGTCGCGTTTCTGGGGGAGACCTGCCAGCCAGTACGGGGAGGAGCAGAGAGGTGTAGGGATATGCACGCCCACGAGCAGTGTACGGCACGCTCAGGGCACGGCCAGAGCACGTGTAGGGCAGCACTAGCACACTCTGCTTTAAGGTAACTCTTGGCGGAGGAGCCGACAGCCTCTGACCACTTAGTGTAAACAGGAAGAACTTACAGGGCCAGATTTATAACCAGCTTAACCATTTAGGCTTTAATGGGTTCTAAGACTTAAACTATCACTTGAAGGAACCCCCAAAACAGCGAAACTTGCAATGGTCGTCCAGGGCTTGTTAATTGACAAGAGGATGTTCTTAGCCTCTGCTCAATATCCTGAGGGACATAGATCTTACGACTGTGTAAGTCACTATATCCTTGCAAGATACTCACTGCCTCTTGCAGCTTCCATTGCACTGATCAACAATCCTGGTCACTGGTCTGGAAGACGGCCAGTGGCCCTTAAGGTCTGCAATTGCAGACGGTAGCAACATGGAACATGTATCCTCTCTCACGGCGGGAGAGAGGATACATACATGTGTCACTGTGGTAGACAGGATACATGTGTCACTGTGGTAGACAGGATACATGTGTCACTGTGGTAGACAGGATACATGTGTCACTGTGGTAGACAGGATACATGTGTCTTAGCTTAGCCTATTGCTAGTGCATAAGATACGGTTAAAAGGTTTGGTGTGTGTAAGTTAATTAAGTAAATAATTAAATATTAATTAGAGACCTGGATATGACGAGACATGTAAGTGTCTCTGGATATTACTTAAGTAACAGGAGCCTTACAGGATGTTGTCAACACTCAGGCCTCTAGCCAGTATACCAGGGGAGACCCTAGAGTAGTGTGATAGGACCGCTCCTGCGGAATATTCCTGTGGTGTAGCCGCTCCTGTGGAATGTTCCTGTGATCGAGGCACTCCTGTGGAATGTTCCTGTGATCGAGGCACTCCTGTGGAATGTTCCTGTGATGGAGCCGCTCCTGTGGAATGTTCCTGTGATGGAGCCGCTCCTGTGGAATGTTCCTGTGATGGAGCCGCTTCTGTGAAACACCAACATCTAAGACATCGTGAAGATAACACCAGAGGCTGGTGACTATGGGGGATGACATTTTCAGGAAACAGGACACGAAGAGCATCAATCAAACATTTAAAAATATTTGATCTTGGGGAAGATGTTAGTCAGTAACTAAGTAACACGTGGTTGTGTTGGACATGTAGTATATACAGGACACAACACTACTCCAGCAATCAATGATCAACTACCATCAACGGAGTGGAAACTGTATAATAATTCTACACAACTCCCAAATCAGATGTATGATGCACCACTAATTTAGTTTCCCTGTCCACAGTCTCGTGTTAAGTTGCTAGTCAAACTACAAGTCAGAGTTGCACGTTGAGTGAGACGCAATGTTGATCTGCCTGATGGAACACCGTAGATGCACACTCTCCCCCACACAGAAGATGAGGCTGGTCTCTGTGTACCCAACAACATTCACAGGACTCCTGCAACCCATTTAATTTCGATATAAAAATAAACCTCAAATGAACTACTAAACAAAAATAATAAATATGTAACTAAATGCTGCTACTACTACTACTATTACTACTACTACTATTACTACTACTACTATTACTACTACTACTATTACTACTACTACTATTACTACTACTACTATTACTACTACTACTATTACTACTAATAATAATACACAGAGAAATCACATTCTCGTCCTACATCAATGAGAAAATCCAGAGGAGCCGTGATGAGGGATCGAACCTGTGCGTCGAGGGCTCCCAGATGTCAAAACAAAGTTTCGGGAATCCTCGAGGGTGCAGTAGTACCCCAATTATTTTGCAATTCTGTTGACCATGTCGTGGTGTAGTGGTTTACAGCGTGCTTCTGGGAATACCCGACGCTGAGGTTCGAACCCTCATCACGGCTTCTGTGGATTTTCTCAATAATAATAATAATAATAATAATAATAATTAATACCTAATCTACGATAGAAAATTAAGCTTCGGTGTTTGACGTGTTGCATAAAACATGTGTGGACACGTGTGGACACGTGTGGACACGTGTGGACGTGTGTGGACACGTGTGGACATGTGTGGACACGTGTGGACATGTGTGGACACGTGTGGACATGTGTGGACATGTGTGGACATGTGTGGACATGTGTGGACATGTGTGGACATGTGTGGACATGTGTGGACATGTGTGGACACGTGTGGACATGTGTGGACATGTGTGGACATGTGTGGACATGTGTGGACATGTGTGGACATGTGTGGACACGTGTGGACACGTGTGGACATGTGTGGACATGTGTGGCGCCTCACGACACACCACCAAGGCCAGTGGAGCCGGGAGAACACGTGCGACCACTCCACTATAGAGTGGCGCTGATTCGTAGCTTCTCCAATATCGGTAAAACCAGGCTTGTGCGGGGCTTTAATGACAATGGTCCGAGGCCACCACCAGGCTTGTACACTCACGCCATCACCAACCCCGTCACTGTCTCACACTACACCATGGCTGACATCAGGCGTCTCGACTGACACTGGTCCAAGGCTGACATCAGGCGTCTCGTCTGACACTGGTCCAAGGCTGACATCAGGCGTCTCGACTGACACTGGTCCAAGGCTGACATCAGGCGTCTCGCCTGACACTGGTCCAAGGCTGACATCAGGCGTCTCGTCTGACACTGGCCCAAGGCTGACATCAGGCGTCTCGTCTGACACTGGTCCAAGGCTGACATCAGGCGTCTCGCCTGACACTGGTCCAAGGCTGACATCAGGCGTCTCGCCTGACACTGGTCCAAGGCTGACATCAGCCATATTTTCTTATTGCGAACTATGGAAGGAATCAATCCTGGTCGAGTCATAGACTGTTTACTGATGTATGGCTTAGGGACCATTCAAGTAAATGTGTGTGTGTGTGTGTGTGTGTGTGTGTGTGTGTGTGTGTGTGTGTGTGTGTGTGTGTGTGTGTGTGTGTGTGTATGTGTGTGTGTGTGTGTGTGTGTACTCACCTAGTTGTACTCACCTAGTTGTGTTTGCGGGGGTTGAGCTCTGGCTCTTTGGTCCCGCCTCTCAACCGTCAATCAACAGGTGTACAGATTCATGAGCCTATCGGGCTCTGTCATATCTACACTTGAAACTGTGTATGGAGTCAGCCTCCACCACATCACTTCCTAATGCATTCCATTTGTCAACCACTCTGACACTAAAAAAGTTCTTTCTAATATCTCTGTGGCTCATTTGGGCACTCAGTTTCCACCAGTGTCCCCTTGTGTGTGTGTGTGTGTGTGTGTGTGTGTGTGTGTGTGTGTGTGTGTGTGTGTGTGTGTACATTGTCGCTCATCATATCACAGCTATTACTAAAACATCTTTATTATAATCTTATCCACTACAGGCGACCGTTGTCATTAATCCCAAGGTACAGATAACATCATGCTGAGTCAGCATGATGTTCCCATGATGCACATCAGCGTTAATCTGGCCATCAGAGTCCTCGTTAATCACCACAACATCAGCTCACATCACAGTGTTCTCGGGTCGTTCCTCACGTCTTATACTAATGTAAGTGTTGGTGGAATTACGTAATGTTATTCACGGGGGGGGGGGAGGAACATCCTTTTATTCATGCACTTTATTCATACACAACTCCTTCAACAATGATGTATATTATACACATTTCACTTATTGAGTTATTGGGCACTCAACCAAGTTAGGTGATAGAAATGTTTGGCCAATACTATCCTGTATATATATACATTCTCGTCATTCTTACATAGAAAGGCTTAGAGATTTGTTATACAATATATGGTTAAATTGGTGGTAGTTCACCAAGATGGAAGTTGGCTACTACCTCACACTAGTCTTGGGAGAGTTCTCCAGAGCATGTTATCTGGGGTAGATATTTTGTGGGGTGGATAACCATCTGTTGACCATTATAGTCGATGCTGGGGCTGGGAGATAGTGGCTCTGGGACTCCCGTCTCACAAGATGCTGGGGCTGGGAGATAGTGGCCCTGGGACACCCGTCTCACAAGATGCTGGGGCTGGGAGATAGTGGCTCTGGGACACCCGTCTCACAAGATGCTGGGGCTGGGAGATAGTGGCTCTGGGACTCCCGTCTCACAAGATGCTGGGGCTGGGAGATAGTGGCCCTGGGACACCCGTCTCACAAGATGCTGGGGCTGGGAGATAGTGGCTCTGGGACTCCCGTCTCACAAGATGCTGGGGCTGGGAGATAGTGGCTCTGGGACTCCCGTCTCACAAGATGCTGGGGCTGGGAGATAGTGGCTCTGGGACTCCCGTCTCACAAGATGAGACAGGTGCTATGTGCAGCCTTCACCACTACACTCTCACCTCTAACTTTACCCAACCCCGCCACCTCCCCCTCCTCCTCCTCCTCCTCCTCCTCCTCCTCCTCCTCCTCCCACCCATCCCTCCTATCTTAATATTCTCAGCTTCCGCTACATTACCTCACTCTTCAGATTTTCAGATTTTATCTCACTATCTTCTGCCCTGTCCCTCCCTTCTTCCTTCCCTCCCTCCCTCCCATTTGCCTTGTCTTCCTCCCTTGCTCCCTTCCTCCCTATCTTCCTTCCCTTTCTCCCTTCTCTCCCTCCCTCCTTTCTTCCCTCCCACCTTCACTACCTTCATCCCTCATTCTGTACCTCTTCCTTCCATTCATCTCTCCCTCCCTCCCTTCCATCCATGTCTCCCTCTCTCGCTCCCCGTTCCATCCATCTCTCTCTCTCTCTCCTTCCCTCTCCTTTCCTTTTTCCTTCCCTCCTTCCCTCCCTCCCTCTTCCACCCATCCTTCCCTCCCACCCTTCCCTCCCTCCCACCCTCCCCCTCCCATCCCTCTTTCCCACCTGACCGTAGCCTGCCGTCCCACAAGGTGCTCACGTCTCACCTTATCGTCAGGGATCATCAATATGTTTATCACGCCTCGCTGAGCACGGGACCCGATAACCGCTCGTAGACGGGCTCCAGCAAGCGGTAGATATAACCGCTCGTAGACGGGCTCCAGCAAGCGGTTGTGATAACCGCTCGTAGCACATTGAGTTACTTTACTTAAGGATTTGTAGCACATTTTAATTATCTTGCTCAACTAACTTGCTTCCCCTAGTTTGAACATTCCTAATGTAGTGATACAGGCTTGAGCACTACTAGACAGGACTGGACACTCCCAGACAGAACTGGACACTCCCAGGCAGGACTGGACACTCCCAGACAGAACTGGACACTCCCAGGCAGGACTGGACTCTCCCAGACAGAACTGGACACTCCCAGGCAGGACTGGACACTCCTAGATACACTGATTGAGGCTCAAAAACCCCGAGACGAACTGAATTTCAAATACTAAAGAAAGCATAACACTAAAAATGAGGGATAAAATGTAGTATTATTTGTCTTCAAAATATTACCATTATTTCCTGTGTATTGAACACTTACTTTACGAGAGTCTTCTGTGTACAATGTTGTTATCTGGCTTTATCGTCCATTTATCGAAAGCGACGTTCAAGTGGTTGTGTAGAAAAAATGTGTAATTTAGTACATGTAAATATATGTAGTCAGTGATGAAGCAAACATATGCGTCATCCCCGACGCTAGGTAACGTATATTAGAGCGGGTCTGATGCGTCAGCGGCTGTACGATCGACGCAGAGGGCGCGAAACACTTCCTACGGAACGATATACGATCGTATTTTATCTTCGAATGCGGCGAGGCGAGACATGTTGAGCACTTAATTAAGGTGTAATGGGCAGAGTTTCTTTCACCCTATGCCCCCTGTTACCTAGCAGTAAAATAGGTACCTGGGTGTTAGTCAGCTGTCACGGGCTGCTTCCTGGGGGTGGAGGCCTGGTCGAGGACCGGGCCGCGGGGACACTAAAGCCTCGAAATCATCTCAAGATAACCTCAAGATAACCTCAAGAAGGTTCAGAGCGAAACTCCCGCTGTACTCATACTCAGGAATTTGTATTATATTTCGTTGTTATTCGTTGTAACTGAAGATAATTGGTTGACAAATGAAATAATGTTGCTGAGGACCACAGTGGTTACTGTAGTAATTATTCCGCTCATCTTCTAAAGGTCAAGTTCCGCTCAGTCCTATAAAATCAACTTTCTGTTAACCCTAAGAGTTAGCCTTCTCTCTCTCTCTGAGACTGATGCATCTCACACTGAGAATAAACCCATTACCACTTGCAATCAGTCCTCTCCCACTTGCAATCAGCCCTCTCCCACTTGCAATCAGCCCTCTCCCACTTGCAATCAGCCCTCTCCCACTTGCAATCAGTCCTCTCCCACTTGCAATCAGCCCTCTCCCACTTGCAATCAGCCCTCTCCCACTTGCAATCAGTCCTCTCCCACTTGCAATCAGTCCTCTCCCACTTGCAATCAGTCCTCTCCCACTTGCAATCAGTCCTCTCCCACTTGCAATCAGTCCTCTCCCACTTGCAATCAGTCCTCTCCCACTTGCAATCAGTCCTCTCCCACTTACAATCAGCCCTCTCTCACTTACAATCAGCCCTCTCTCACTAATAATCAGTCCTCTCCCACTTACAATCAGTCCTCTCCCACTTACAATCAGTCCTCTCCCACTTGCAATCAGTCCTCTCCCACTTGCAATCAGTCCTCTCCCACTTGCAATCAGTCCTCTCCCACTTGCAATCAGTCCTCTCCCACTTGCAATCAGTCCTCTCCCACTAATAATCAGTCCTCTCCCACTTGCAATCAGTCCTCTCCCACTTGCAATCAGTCCTCTCCCACTTGAAATCAGTCCTCTCCCACTTGCAATCAGTCCTCTCCCACTTGCAATCAGTCCTCTCCCACTTGCAATCAGTCCTCTCCCACTTGCAATCAGTCCTCTCCCACTAATAATCAGTCCTCTCCCACTTGCAATCAGTCCTCTCCCACTTGCAATCAGTTCTCTCCCACTAATAATCAGTCCTCTCCCACTTGCAATCAGTCCTCTCCCACTAATAATCAGTCCTCTCCCACTTGCAATCAGTCCTCTCCCACTAATAATCAGTCCTCTCCCACTTGCAATCAGTCCTCTCCCACTAATAATCAGTCCTCTCCCACTTGCAATCAGTCCTCTCCCACTTGCAATCAGTCCTCTCCCACTTGCAATCAGTCCTCTCTCACTTACAATCAGTCCTCTCCCACTTGCAATCAGTCCTCTCCCACTAATAATCAGTCCTCTCCCACTTGCAATCAGTCCTCTCCCACTTGCAATCAGTCCTCTCCCACTTGCAATCAGTCCTCTCCCACTTACAATCAGCCCTCTCTCACTAATAATCAGTTCTCTCCCACTTGCAATCAGTCCTCTCCCACTTGCAATCAGTCCTCTCCCACTTGCAATCAGTCCTCTCCCACTTACAATCAGCCCTCTCTCACTAATAATCAGTCCTCTCCCACTTACAATCAGTCCTCTCTCACTTACAATCAGCCCTCTCTCACTAATAATCAGTCCTCTCCCACTTACAATCAGTCCTCTCTCACTTACAATCAGCCCTCTCTCACTAATAATCAGTCCTCTCTCACTTACAATCAGCCCTCTCTCACTAATAATCAGTTCTCTCCCACTTATAATCAGTCCTCTCTCACTTACAATCAGCCCTCTCTCACTAATAATCAGTTCTCTCCCACTTATAATCAGTCCTCTCTCACTTACAATCAGCCCTCTCTCACTAATAATCAGTTCTCTCCCACTTACAATCAGTCCTCTCTCACTTACAATCAGCCCTCTCTCACTAATAATCAGTTCTCTCCCACTTACAATCAGTCCTCTCTCACTTACAATCAGCCCTCTCTCACTAATAATCAGTTCTCTCCCACTTACAATCAGTCCTCTCTCACTTACAATCAGCCCTCTCTCACTAATAATCAGTTCTCTCCCACTTACAATCAGCCCTCTCTCACTAATAATCAGTTCTCTCCCACTTACAATCAGTCCTCTCCCATTGAACTAAATATACCACACCTTAGAGGCTCTCAATTAATTAAATTTTACCTGCACAATATTGCGGATATGTCCAGTATATGTGCCCCCCCCCCCCCCCCCCCTCTCTCTCTCTCTCTCTCTCTCTCCCTCTCTCTCTCTCTCTCTCTCTCTCTCTCTCTCTCTCTCTCTCTCTCTCTCTCTCTCTCTCTCTCTCTCTCTCTCTCTCTCTCTCTCTCTCTCTCTCCCTTCGTACAGCACCGTTTCTTCGTATTCCGGATATCTTCGCGCGATTCCGTATTCCGGATATCTTTTCCTTATATCCGTATTCCGAATATCTTCGTTCATTTCCATATAACGAACACTCTCGTTCTTCCCGGTTATATTGCGCAGCCGGTTCGGTTATGAGAGTGTGGCGAGACCAAATAAATATTTCTCTCCGGTTATTGGTTTAACGGCTGTCTGGGTTCACACAATTGTGGCCGGGGCGTCGGTGGTGGCTGAGTGGTGATCGCCTTCTCCTGTCAATCCAGCTGTCCGGGCTTCGAATCTACAGTTAGGAAGAACGATGGAATTTGGCCGATATCCGATTAGGAGCACGGTATCCGAATTCCCACCCCGCTGGTGTTGGTACCTCACTGGATTAAATAACACCAAGTTAAAGGCGGGTGTTGGTAATGGTGGTGTTGGCAGTGTGTTCTTATGGTAACTTATCGGGTCCGGGTTCGAGGTTGAGGTCATTAGGAAGGGATTTATATCCAGCGATTTGTCACTCAGTAAAAAAAAAAATTATCTAACCATAAACGTAAAAAATGCAATTGTATTAAGTAAAGATAAACGTAAAGGAAATCAACAGTTTTATCTTATCATAAACGTATAAAGGACAACTGTGTTACCTAACCAGAACCGTACAAAAATGCAACTGTTTCGCCTAACTCGAGGTACGAACCGCAGCATCCCACCCAACCCATCGAGGCTCGGGAAACATACTTCTGTTGTATGTTAAATTGTATGAAATTTATTTTTAGTAGCACGTTGCATTTTTAACGGATTCGTTAATTCAGTAAAAAAAAAGCGGCGAATTTGGTGAAATGACCGGTTGAAATAGCATATATATATTCGGTTAGCAGTGGACAAAAGGAAGCAGCCGGTTATCCGGCTAATGCGATTTATACGGTTTGAACAACAGCCATACTCCTCAAAATGTCCGGTCCATCATGTAATATCCGACAATAAACGAAAATTCGAGCCTTTATGATGCAATATATATATATATATATATATATATATATATATATATATATATATATATATATATATATATATATATATATATATATATATTTTTATATATATATATATATATATATATATATATATATATATATATATATATATATATATTATATATATATATATATATATATATATATATATATATATATATATATATATATATATATATATATATATATATCCGTATTGAAATATTTAATGGAAGACAAATGTGTTGGGAAGCATTGTACAGACACACACAACTAGTCACTATACCTCGCGGGACTCGAACTCATATATAATATAAAATGAATAATTATACACATCACTATACTTTCAATCAACAGTGATGCCAACAGGGGAGCTAGGTCGCCTACGTCGACCGAGCTCTCACTCACAGCTCTGGGTGGAAGCAGGGGGATGAGGAGTTATGTAGAGTAAGGCAGATTTTGGTCAACAATGGTTTCTTCAATAGTTATGTCGAAGACGTCTTAAAAAGGAAGGTGGCGAGGTATGCCACAAGCGACGGAACAACCAGTACCGCAATACCTGTACTGCCAACATAATTGTTCTACAGAAACTTCTTCTCCACGGCCCACAAAGCGGAGGAAAGAGTCCTTAAAGAGATCATTGAGAGGAACGTTACCCCAACTGACAGTTGGGGTAACTGTCAACTAACAGTTGACAGTTATTAACCAAAAGTAACCAAAAGTAAGTAAAGTCAACTAACCAAAAGATAAAACTAACAATATATTATAAGAGTAGGAAAACAGCCAACCTGCCAATGAAGAATTCTCCCGACACCAGGAAACCTGCCTTGAAAGACACCAACGTTGTCTAGGTCTTTACTTGCCCACTTGGAAATTGTCAGCCCCAACGAACTCAGTATATAGGCAAGACAACAACGTCCCTCTCTAGGCGATTAACAATACACAAACAACAGGACTCCATCAAAGAACACATAATCGCCACACACAACGAGACGATCATCAGGGATATTGTGACGAGCAACACTGAAATAATTGATAGATACACTGACAGTAGAAGATTTGACATCAGTGAAGCGCTGCATATCAAGAAATCCAGACCAGCCATTAATAACTAGATAATACATAATTACACTCTACCCACTTCCAGACCCCGGGCCAACGCAGAAGCTGGACCGTATAACCCTGCAACAGGAACGGAAGCAGCCAGACGAACATAAGCTGCCAACATGCCACACACTATGTTGATAGAAATAATACGTTATTAATATCCGTGTTATGTCATTCATCCATATGTTACCTAACCACCTCAACATAAGAGGATATAACTAGGTGCTACACACAGTAGAATTTGTCTTTGAGAATGTGAGGTGAGACCTTACGAAATGCATCACTAGGCGTCAGACCCAAATAAATAAGTAAAAATGAACTTTGGAGAGTTAACTTTTGAACTTCCTGTGTGGGAAAAACCTGCTGGGATTGATATAAGAGGAGACTACCAGGGACTTGTACTGAACTAAATTAAAAAATTACTGTCTGCAAATTAATTCAACTAAAATCTCTAGCTAGGGTTGTAAATCCTAATTCCTCTTTTCCTAATGACAGATTGTGGGCTGTAAGGGACAGGTGGAGTGAATGACTTGTTGATAGAAGTTCCAATCCACCTGTAGACAGGGATCTCACATCAGCTTGTATTTTATACAAGGATAAGATTTGATAAATTCAGTTATCTGACTGAACACTGGCTCTGTTTAAATCAGAGATTTAAACATACATAGTCTAACCTAGTACCATAACTTAACAGCCAATATGTACTTATACTATAAACAACAAATTAAATTGTAAAAGTATAATAAATGACCTTAAATGTAGTCTTAATACTATTAACTTAGTACTAGAAATTATATTCAATTAAATGAACTTATATGATAACTTAAAAATTAACTAAGCAAGCTATTGATAACTTAATTTATATATTCAAATATATATGCAGACATATTCAGTTTATACAGTTAGCTTGACTGAATCTTTTCCAAACTATGGACACTTGTGAGGTTTTTACTTATTGAGGCTGAATTATTTTCTGACACAATGGACACCCATGAGGTTCAGTGCTTGGATAAGATTCACAGCTACACTACAATTTTAATAAACGTACCGATGAATGAGGCTTTGCCTCGCTTTTTAACCAACAGACAGATTTATAGGATATTAAAGTTACACAAGCATACAATTGGCCAATCATACACCAAATAACCCTCAATATACTTCTCTGCCAGTCGGGGTGCCTGTCTGACAAGTTTGCCAGACTGATTAACTCTCTCTTGTTGAGTTTAGGCACGATATTTTGCTACAGCGTTGCTGTATGATGATCTGGTAGCGTTGCTACGTGATTATCCTGCAGTTGCAGAAGAATGATTCGAGATAAAAGTTTATGAATGAAGGTGGAGGAAACCGTGTCACTGATCTCCACTATACACTCTATTTTATGTAATGTTTCAGGATTTTCCTTGTAGATATTGTCCAGGTACTCCCCCAGTTCTAGAGAGTATTCACTGGCGATAAAAA